GTTGATTGTTTTTTTCTTTCACAAACTAATTAAACCCACAGAACATCATGATTTCTTTTCATTAGACTTTGCACAATAATTCTTTTCACATAGACATACAGACACAAAACACTTGGAACATCTAGTGCATGTCAAGTAGACCTCATATTATTTGTTTGCACTTGAAAAGTAGTGACTTGATAAATTAACTTAATTAGTTTGTCTGCACAGAGTAGACTAGATTCGTACTGCACTTGATAACCTCCGGTCTTAAACTTTTAATTTTTTCAGTAGCAAAATTAACCAATACTTGAAAACTTGAGATTAAAATAATTTGGCAAGTGGCAAATTAATCCCGTGAAGATCAGATGGTTGATTCTTGCACCTTTTGTGAGGAGAGCTTATACCAACCACACCTAAACAAGTGTGTGGTAAGGGCTGTATGGGATATCAGTGATTTATTATTAGAGTTCAAATTTGGAAAGATTTTGGCGTTATCCCCAGTCCATTGGAACTTTTATCAACATTGTCTGAATGCATACTGGCAGATAGTATTGTGTTTAAACAAACAAATTTCTTTATTAGGGATTATTTCCAAGCTAACTTAAATGTTGGCTTTTAATTTATAAGGTGATATACAAAAAGAATATATTTAAAATTTGGATCCTAAATATGAAAATCCTATGCAATAATCTGTGCCCATTTGTTTAAAAAAAGGATAGACCCTTCATGAGAAAATAAAAATGGGTTTTTAGTTTGGGGGTGGTAGAGTTTCCTAATTAGCAAAACCTAACCCTTGGATGTTGCTTGTATGTGTTGTAGCTGTCTCTTGTCCGTGTTGTGTTGTAGACTTGTACAGTTGTAGTAGATATGTAGGAATGTATGCACTGCCATGTTGTAGAGAGAGCTAATCAATTAATTATGGCCTTGTGGGCTCCAGGAATGAGAACGCTTGACGGCTAATAGAGTTGGATAGCCTGTCTCAGAGTATTCAGCATGAAGTTTATCAATTGTGAGTGGTGAACTGCATGTCAACCACACCGAATAGATGCCTAGCTGGAATGCTTTACTTGCATGAAGAGTGCATGCTGATCGAGTAGACTACACAAAGTAGTTGCCTTGTTTGTATGAGAATATTTTCTGTTTCAGTAGTTTAAAAAATGTACATTGGCTTAATTCGTTCTTGATATTACCTGTATGCCTCAATGTTACTTTCTCCAATGAAATTACTCATTGAACATCAGTGTTCTTCACATAAAAGTGTCTTTAGAATAAATTAAATAATCAAGTTGGTCATTTGATACCATTGAACCTGATAAAATATGGCACATTTTTTTCCTTCTCATATGCACCCATTTGATATAACGATGACATTTTCTCCCATCACCTTAGATGTGCTTTTACATTTCAGATGTGTGATTGTATTTGTGTGTGCATTACCTAGATTGTTTTCTCAAGCTTTTCACAAGTTCAAGTTTTTAGTTTGATTTATTTTCGTTGTATTTTTTTTCATCATTTCTAATTTCATTTTTCTTGATTTGAGATAATGTTTGTTTGATTTCATTTTGTTTTCATTTTCGTTTCAATTGATGTTGTGTAAACTTCACTCATGAGCACCTTTCATGATATCCAGAAAAGTCTCTTTTAGTTCATAGCATTTTCAAACGCGAATTTTGTCCTGAGTCCATGGTGTGAGATAAGTTGGTTTTTTCACAACCATTTCCACCGACCACTCCATAATGTCACCATTCCGATTGGAATTCAAACGCACCTAACACATGCAGGCTTGCTAGGCCTTTCTCCACTCAGTCCACAGTTCACTGTCATTCATGTGTGCTGTCATATAGTTTGGATGAGAGAAAATCAATGACATAAAATCTTGTTACCTTGTGTTTTCATTTTTGAAACCATGGACATTTTGACAATGTTTCTTAGAGTTGGAATCTTTTTATCAGCTGGGTTATGAACCCCCGTGAGAATCATGCATTTTGTTACTTTTGAGGTGAGTACCTAAATGAATTACCATGTGTTATCTTGTATGTTTGCACTCAGTTTTTTAAAATCTGCATGATGCACTATGAAATGTAATCGTGAGCATCCGATTCTTTCTCTCAAATTAATGATTGTTGAAATAATGCAAAAAACTACCTTAACCAAAATAGCAAAGGAATATTTGCAATGTCCTTTTGTATACTCAAAGGATATATTCATCAGCAAATTATTATGTTTTGTTTGCTTGGACATTTTGTGTCATAGTGAGAAGAAAATACATACTCTGAAACCCTCACCTCATTCTTCTAGTTTGGAAGTTGAAAGAATCGGATGCTTAATCATTATTTCTATATGATCTAAGTCTATTATTTGTCAATGATGTAGCTTTTCTCAATTTTATTATGAAATATAAAAATTCAATTTAGAATTGGTTTTTTTAAAGTAAAAAACTTAAATGAATGGGAAATGATTATAATTCACTAATGAATATAATTTGTGTTTTGCAGCAAAAATGCAATTTCAAAATTCATGAAACCTTGATTATGAGTTAAAAAAAGGATTTAAGGAATTCAATTATTTTTGAAGATTTTTCATCAAAAATTTACTTTTTTAAATTTGAGAAGAAAGCTCAAAAATACCAAAGAGATACCTGTCCCATGTTCTGACAGCTGGGCTTATTGGTGACTTTTCTACGAAAATGAAACCATTCATTATGCTACTCTGACAAATATATAGACTGATTGTAATGCTTTATAATCTCTGCATAACTTTCTTGACTCCTCAGGCAACCTTCTGATGTTGAAATATATTCCCTGCAACTTGTTAATCTAAGATTTTAACAAAGAATTTGAGAGGGAAACTTAACTTTCTTTCTAAATATCAGTATTTAACAGTTAAATTTCTGTGCTGGGGATTGTTTTAGTTAAGTCCATTTATTTAAAATGTTAGGCAAATGTTCTTAAGTTGTAGGTCAAAAGCAGTTTCTTCGATTAATATATACCTTTGTTAAATTCAGTTAGTTATGTGATATCTGCAAGGAAATCACTTTGATAACAAGTTATTTTAAAACTTAATACTAAGTAATCTATATTAAGTGGGTTTAATAGTAGTAATTCTTGCCAGGGAAGAGAAATATTCTAATTCTTAACAAATGTTAACCCTCCACTATTATAAATCTCCTGCATCTACACATTTATATCCCAATCTAAGCAACTTAATGTAACAAACCCCCTCCCAGTCCCTTTAAAGTTTGGCCCATTCCTCTTAATCTCCCATCTAAAACCATATGAATGATTGAATAATATGTCCTATATATTATGTATATATATTAGTAATGCTGTCTTTAATATGATAGTATGGATACTGCATGGATCTATTCTCTTATTAATTCAATACCCTTCCCCAATGCTTGACGATCCCCTTCCCCCACCAAATCCTCTTCGATGCATGGATTGTGCATGGGCACCAACTCACACAGGCATGCTCAATGCTGATGTATACAACAATGCCCAGGCCGACAACCTACCCTGCCTGTACCGTGGATTGTTGAAACCCCATGGCAAGAGGTGGAAGGCAAATGAATGCACCACTTGCACTTGCAACAATGCTACCACCACATGCCAGATTGACACCTGTAAGGTGCCCAAATGCCCCAACCCTAAACAAGTTCCTGGAGAGTGTTGTCTCCGCTGTCCTATTGGTGAGTCTGGATTGACAAGTACGATCCCTGCCTGAGTAGCCAGAAACCTTCACCACCCTGCTGAACGGACCTTGCGCTCCTGGACCTTTCATCAATCCCTCATCAACCATTCTGCCTTCCTTAGTGAACCATCTCTCCCTTCCTTGGACCTTCATATCCCTTTATCTTCTGTCACCTTCCTGTAGAGTGGTCTTTGGTTGCCAGAAATGCTACTGATGAACCTTCCATCAAGTCCTTTATCACCATCCTGCATTCCTATGTGAACCATCTTTCCTTTCATTCCTTATACTTTTGCAACCTATCCCCTCCTATTCTATAATTTTCCTGCAGAAAACATTGGTTTCTTTGGAAGCTAGAAGCTTTATATCTTTCATATGATTCTTCCTTGGAACTTCTATCCTGTCCTTTATGAATCTTCTCTCTCTCTTCCATTGGACTACCATGTTTCTTCAACTCTCATAACCCTCTTTGGCTATCTTCCTGCATTCTATTTCATCTGTTTTCTTAAACTATTCTTTTTTTGTTATTTCTGTAGATCATCCCAGTTCTTGTTTCATAAATTTCTTTTGTAGTTTTGGGTAGCTTCACTTCTGTAGAGGGCCATTGTTTCATCTGTCATTCCACGTTGCTTCTTGGATATTTGCTCCTTACATCATTCGTTCACATGGAGAAACCAGATATCATACTCCTTGGCTTATTATGTTGTCCATTGGTTCTCTTCTCAAAGTTCCAATGTTCTTGTAAACTGCGATGTCACTAGATGGTTTCTTTAGAAGCTTCTTGTCATCCATTCTCCATGTTCAGTTCAGTGCCTTTCCTCCCTTCCTTGTTCCACCACCTTCCCTATTCCCTTCCCCTCCTTCCTCCCTTGTCATTCCCTATCCCCTACTTCCTTCCCTTAATTAAACTAATTGGGTTTTGCATGCTAATTGCATTTGTAAGTAAATATGTGGATAAGTTAAGTAGGTAGGTTGAAGAGTAGGGTATCTTTCTTAACACACTTAAACAGTGATCAGTTCAGGATTCTACAGAATTAGGAAATACTTAGTAAAGCTGTAGATGTAATAACCTGGTTACATCTGTTTTTGGAGTCTTTTCGTGATTGGGAGGGTTTGTGACACAGTCATGTTAGGTTATAGTCAGAGTAGAATAGGAGGGTAGTATGGGAGGGGTAGTTGCAGTAAGTTACAGGGGGGGGGGGTAAGACATGGTAGTTTGACAGATTGTAGTATAGTAGGGGTTAGTGAGGATAGTTAGGTAGGGGGTAGGGATGATAAACAACAAGGTATGGATGTTGACTGAATGGACACAACTCCTCTTTATCTCGCAGCGGTGACCATCACAAATTTGGATGTGATGCTGAGCAATCCAGCTCCAATATCGGAGGGCCAAGTGAACAGTGTGCCTGTCGACGTGAACATAGACTTGCTAAACAGAAAGACTCAAGATGTATCTGGCACTGGTCTTTGGAAGCTCCAAGTGTGGGGCTCGCTGCGGGCCGACGGTGTCGGGCAGCAAATCTCCTTATCAGAGCAGGCCCTGACAAGGAATCAAGAAGCAACACCCGTTGAGCGGGGGGCTCCATTCTTCTTTCGAAATGTCCCATATGAGCTGGACATGAGAGGGGTCAGTTGCTCAGAGATCAATTATGTTTGTGTACGCATTAGAAAGGGGAATGATCCAGATCCTCAGTTCACATTCAAAGGGAAACCCAACCAAGCCACCACATTCTCAGACTGTGCACCCATCTCAGAGTGTTCAGGTGAGTAGCCAAATAAGAAGTTTATTTACAGAATGTAAGAAATATATATGTATTGATGTGTGTGAGTGAGAGTTGTGGTGATCCCATTCATTCCAGGCTCATTTCACTATGTAAGCAGTTCAGTAAATCAGTTCATGTCCAACTTTTAACCCAAGCTCATTTTCAGAGATTTCACAAAGTATATATTTTCACAGGACATTTCCATGCGCCAGAAAAGGTACATTTACAATTTTACATGTATCACAGAACATCTTCATGCCATAAGGATAAATTTAACCCATCATTTCAATTCGCACTCTATGCAGAGAGAAGGATCCTCAAAACTATCAAAAGAAATTTGATATTTGAAAATCATTTTGGATTAGATAATGATGCTCTTTACAACTTCATCTTTCTTTTGTACCTCTGATTTTTTTAAATGATAAGCTCTAGTGATTCAAATGATAGTTATTTTCCCAAATAGATGCCAACATGGCCAAGTGTTTATACCCATAGGAGCAGTGTATAGTGTCTGGTCATTGTGGCGTGCAGGACTTGGGTTTTTGTGGAGGACATCAGTTGTCAGTGGGCAGAGCTAGGGGAACTTGTCTGATCAAGGCAGCCTTCAGTATCTTCAAACCCTGTCCTTTGAAAGAGGAAGTAGTTCATAACCTGCTTGACAGTGCTTGTACATGTAGCACTTGAATGATTTAACTGTTTGTGCACTATGAATCAGATTCCTCACTTCTGACCTCGATTGTCTGGTCATATCGGTTGTGGTTAATAAGAAAATCACAACTAGCTCAATATATAGCTTTTCACAATCATTAAAATTCTGGAGACCTGTTTTGGCCAAAAATAAACTGATTGATTACTGGTATCGATGTTGCAGGTGTTCAATTGCGAGGACTTACGTGGGAACTTCAAGCCTCGAATGTTATCGCTGGTATGCGCAATCCCCTTAACATCACTGCACAAGTAAACTTTGTGGAAGGTGCCGGTGATGTATCTGGAGAGAATCTCTGGCGGCTTGGACTGTACGGGAGTCGCAACGCCCAAGGATCCGGAGAGAAGTTCAATTATGTTAGACAGACTTTGAATGAGTTTGAATCGGCCTATCCACTGAGGGGTGCTGGAGATATCAACTTCCGGTTTGCCAGGGCTGCGTTTGATCTGGCTGCCATTGGGTGCACAGATTATGATTACATGTGTGGAGAGTTCACCAAAGCGGACAATCCCAATCCAGACTTCAGTTTCTCTGTCTATCCATCAGGAATGACCAAGATCACATGCAAGGGTTGGCCATGTAGAGCAGGTGAGAATTATATTAGATTTCAATGCACCCTCACAGAAATTTTGTCTGAATAAAATGATTAATGTGCCCTACATATGGAAACACATCATTTTAACCATTGTATACTTTCTCTAATAAGGAAAACATTATTTGTATCACCCATTTGAAATCTAGCCAATAGATTTGTCTTTACCTACATTTCATCTGCCTCTGTTTTAGGATATGCAACATGATAAGAATCCATTCTCTTCTTGTTGATGATGAACATATACTGGTCATATCTTCAGTAGCCTGATTATGTACCAATTTGTGATTTTTCTTTCTGGGATATTTTTATCTTTTCAGTTGTGAATATTGAGGCTGTAAGTGCCATCCCTGTTCGAGGCAGCCTGGTTGCTGGGCGAGCCGACAATCCCATCGAGATGTACGTCAAGGTGAACGGGTCTGGTGTTGGTGTAGCAGGACAGAACCTGTGGACCCTCTCTTCCTATGGAAGCCAGAACAGCAGAGGAGCGGGCAGGAAGTACGCTCAGACAATGCAGATCCTTACCCCAGAGCAGCAGAACACCATGCTCGTTCCCGGCACTCCGATGGAGCTTGGGAGGGTGTCTATGAACATTGACATGACCAACCAAGACTGCAATCAAGTCACCCATGTCTGTCTGACACTCGGCAAAGGTCAAAATCCCACTACTGTCTTCAGTGTTGTTCCTGTTCCCAACTCCAATGTCCTCACCAAGTGCATACCATACCAATGTGCAGGTAGGTTTCTTGACATACCTTGTACTAATACTTAACTACATATCGTCTTTTCAGAGCCAGAAGGGCTAAACTCTGTAAAAAGGTTTGTGACTCATGTTAGCACCCTTCTGGCTCTAAACAGATGATATATAAATAAGTAGGAGTTCTTAAAATTAAGCTATACTGAAATAGTGTAAGAGAGAAATATAAATTATCTCTATCCCCACAGTGATGAATTATTATAAATACTAATGAACTTGTCTTACTCATAATTACCATTTGTTTATAATTCAATTTCAAACTGCATACAGTCTGCAAGCATAACTTTATTTTGATGCAAAATATGCTTCAAGGAAATAATATTTTTTAATGTATATTTTCTATTCACAGTGGCAACTGCAAGGTCATTATCTTGGGATTATGATGCTCCAACTGTGGTGCTGGGTCAGCAGAGCGACTTGACTATAAATACTGAGGTATCATTTGTGGACAATGAGGCTTCCGTAGTTGGATCAAATCTTTGGAAGTTGGGAATATTTGGTAGTCGAAATCTAAATGGTAGAGGACAAAGAATCGGAGAAAAAAGACAGATTTTGAGAACTAATGAGGCATCTACGCCCCTCGATCCCAGGACAGCAGACGGGTTACATCGACTCAACATCAACAACATAAGGACCACATTCGATATGAGTTCCATTGGATGCGGTGCTTTCCCGTACCTGTGTGTGGAGTTTGGACAAGCGGACAGGCCACGACCTTCTTTTGAGTTTGCTACAGAGGATGGGACAGACTCGGTTGTTAACTGTAAACTGCTGCAGTGTGAAAATGGTGAGCAAGAAAACTACTGGTTTTTAATCTTATCTAATTTGCTGGAAAAAAGCCTTTGTTTGTAAGTTACTTTCCTACATTCAAATTGTAAATGACAGTATTTCGGGACTGCCTAGTTTTCCTCAATTAACAGTTAAACATCACAAGCACTTATGTTAAGTTGAAGCCATAGCTCCTGTCCTTCGTACTCATAACACCACTCAATATACTTTTGTTCTTTGTTTGCATATATAGATGTCATGCTGAATGAATTGCATCTGACCCTGGAGAATGGTAGAATTCTGGATGCAAGGCCAGAGAATCCACTCACGTTTTCTCTGGAGGGAAGTCTCATAGGTCCAGGTGTCCAAGGGAGAGACTTATGGACTGTCTCAATGTTCGGAAGTGGTGAGCCCGATGGAGTGGGACCCCGTTTTGGACAAATGGACCAAATCTTGGATACACGTCAGAGGAACAAGCCCTATGTGCCAAATGAGAATTTAGATTTTGGGAATATTGACCTAAACTTTGACATGAGTTCTCATGAATGTGCCAGAATCAGATACATGTGTGTAGAATTTTCAAAGAATGATCAGACATCAGTGCCATTCACGCTGACAGCCAGCAGTGGGGAAGCTTGGATATCTTGTGTTGACATACCATGTGAAGGAGTCATTGCTTCAGATCTAATATGGCACTACCAAGCACCTGAAGGCATCACCCTTGGTGCTCCCATCCCTATCTTGCTGGATGCGGTAGTTGAATTCAGTTCAGTGTCAGCGGATGTCATTGGAAGGAACTTGTGGGCATTGACACTCTATGGTAACACCATGGAGAGTGGACGAGGGGATATCATTGGCATCTTGGAAGGCAACATCCTAGGCAATAAGGCAGCTAGTCGAAACCTTCTTGTAGGAGATGACTCTCTAAACTTTACAAATGTAAGAAGTGAGAAGGACCTTAGCAGGATTGGATGTCTGCATGAGGGATATCTCTGCCTCACCTTTGGACGAGGAGCCAACCCCAAGCCACCTTTCATGCTACTTACAACAAGTGGAGGTGACTCAATAGTGAGCTGCAAGAAGGTGCCTTGCCCAAGAAGTGAGTACTCCAACCACTGAAAAGTGCATGTCAAAGTTAAACCTTATCTGTAAATAAGTAATTGAACAATTAAATGTCTTTTTTTGTACATGGAGTTGTTTGTTATTTGTATTTGAATTTGCATATTGTGTTATGAATCATGCAACCACTGCAGTTGATGATCGAATTGAAATTCATATGGGTTTTTGGATAAAAGCACTATTAGAATTTCAAGATTACATTATGAAACCACATTAGGAGAGGAACAATGAATGAATGCATTGAGGACTTATGAATAGTAGAGCTAATGAAAGTGGTGGAACAATCATTAATATTTACTATCTTGATGTTTACTTGTTTGTCTTTTCAGATGTTGAACTGACAAATATTGACACCGGTTTTGTGAGTGGTTCTTTGATAGAAGGCACTCCCAGCAATGAAATTGTTCTCTCGATGACTGCCAACAGTGCGCCCAACTCAAATGGCATCAATGGCATCAGTCTTTGGTCAGTGGGTGCCTGGGGCAGCCGAAACCCTGATGGAAGTGGGAAGCGAATCAATCCAGTTGAAGGGGAGGTCCTGAGTGGTGCACAGAGCAGCATCAACCTGACTCCAGGAGGCATGATTGACTTTGGAGAAGTAGCCATTGACTATAGCATGGAAGACGTCACCTGCAGGGATATCAACTACATCTGTGTAGAACTGGACAAGAACTCAGGATCCAATGTAGAGTTCAACCTTATTGCAGAGAGAGAAACCATGAGGAGATGTGAAGCAGTCTCTTGCTCTGGTGTTCTTGCAAGAACTTTGAGCTGGGATTTCCGGGCCAATGAGGTACGACCCAACCAGCGTAGCCCGATCACTGTCCAGGCAAGTGTTCGCTTTGATGAAAACAGCTCTCCTCTCACTGGAAGCCGTCTCTGGAGGATGTCGCTCTTTGGCAGTGACAACCTTGATGGCAATGGCAGAACATTTGATCCAATCCATCAGATCCTTGATGCCCAGAATCAACGCAAGTCTCTCAACCCTCAGTTTCCCCTCACCTTCAATAATGTACCCACTGAATACAATGTCGGTGCCATTGGTTGTGGTGAATATCAGTTTTTGTGCATGGAGTTCACCAGAGCAGATAACTCTGATCCGGCCTTTGTGTTTGATGTTGTGGGTGGAGGAAACAAACTGGTAAACTGCAAGCAGCTGCTTTGTAATTCAGATGTTGTGCTTCAGGGTATGACCACCAATATTGTTGGTAGCCCTATTGTCACTGAAGGAATCAGGAATACCGTTGACATCGACACCTCCGTCTTCTCCAGCCCTGAATCTCGTCCTCTGGACAGTAGTCCTGGCTTGTGGCAGTTATCTGCCTACCTCACCCCCAGTCCTGATTCTCCTCTCCAGTTCAATGTCCAGAACCAGGTGCTGTCGCGGCAGCAGGCAAGTAGCGCCCTCAACCCTGGAAGCCCCATTGGCTTTGGTCCTGTCTCTGTGAATGTGGACCTTAGACAGACTACTTGTGAACAGGCTGGTTACGTTTGCACAAGACTCAGCAAAGGTCCATCTCCAAGAGTGGATTTCAATCTCCAGATAGTACCAGACCCAAGCGCTGTGAAGTCATGTGAAAGAATTGAATGCAATGGTGTTCATCTTCAAAATAACATTGACTGGACATACAATGCTGATGATTCTATACCAGGGCGGGAGACCCCCATATCCATCACAACCAACCTCCTGCCTTTCCCAAACAGTCGCGACATCACAGGAAACGATCTCTGGGAGATGGGCCTGTATGGCAGTAAGAATCCCGATGGTTCAGGAGAAAAGTTCAACTACGAGGACCAAATCCTTAGTCCTGAGCAGGCGGGCACACCCCTTGATGGCGACACCCCATTCTTCCTAGACAACATTGACACCAACTTTGATGTTGGCTCTGTTGGTTGCACAGACTTCAGATACCTGTGCGTTGATTTCAAAAAGGGCAGGAACCCCTCCACTGACTTCACCTTCCAGATAGGAGACACAGCAGAGAACACTATCACTTCTTGTAAACGGATGGCTTGTGACTCTAGTAAGTTAAAAATTTTCAAAGGAGGAATTCAAATTATGTCTAATAGGGGACAAACTAGTGGCTCCATCTTGGCAATACTATTTATAGTGACAAAATATATTATATGTTCTCACAATTTTTTTCATAGTATAGTAGTAGTAGTAGCTCTATACAGAGTGAATTTATTTTTCATTTTTTTTCACATAATATAAACAATGACAGACAATAATAAACATAATGATATAACAGAAATGAGCATTTAAATATCTTTGACTTGTGCTTCCCTTTTTGTGGAAAAGGCATAACAATACTTTCATCTTCTTCATTTCTTTTACAGATGCAATTGTGTCGGACTTGGTATCTACTCTGGGTAGTGATGCTATTTTGATAGAGGGTAACCCACGCAATGGGCTTGCAGTTGATCTGCGTGCTATCACAAGTCTAGAATCCACACCAATCCTAGGTGACCGCCTGTGGCAGGTGGATTCGTTCCTGAGCCGAAACCCTGATGGCTCTGGTCGAGAAGGGGCACTGAACACTAATATCCTTGATCCGTTACAAAGTGCCTGGCCTCTGAGACCAGGAATAGACATTGACTACGGCCAAGTGCTGGTGGACGTGAATATGCAGGATGTGTCTTGTGCGGAGGCACGCTACATGTGCTTCAGACTGCGCAGAAATGCTGATGCAACGGTCAGCTTTAACCTGCAGGGAGAACCAGATGACTCTGTCCTTACCAGCTGCCTAGATATGACACAACAATGTCAAGGTATGTCAAGTTCCTTTGATCAATTTATGTTGATGTACTTTTTCATTTAAATACAAAAAATATGTATATGTATAAAATTGTACATACTGTAAATACATTGCATGAAAGTTGTCGATAAGCAGTTTTTTTTTCACTATGCCCACTGTGAAAGACTTGAATTGTTTGTTTTGCTATAATCTCATCATTTTTTTCTATTTTAGGTGTGATTCTCACTGGTATTGACTGGAGCTACGATGAGTCTGTGCCCAGGACACTCTCCATATCAGCTTCTGCAGATGTTACATTGAACAGCCGAAACCTTGATGGGTCAGGCTTGTGGACCATGGGCCTCTTTGGTAGCACCAACGGACGTGGACTGGGCAACCGCCTTGGTCACCAGCAGCAGATCTTGAATTTGTACAATCAGGGGCGAACCGTGATGCCACCAAGACCTATCACCTTCAGGAATATTGACACCAGGTTCAATATCGAGCAGTTGGGTTGTAACAGCCAATACCAATACCTCTGTCTAGAGCTCTCCAAAGGAGCCAACCCAAATCCAGAGTTCTCCTTCAGGACTATAGATGGTGATGACTCTCTGATGTCCTGTAAACAGAGAGAATGTAGAGGTAAGCTTCAACTCTAGATGTTCCTTGTACTTGTTGGTTAAGTATTCAGCCTGTCTATGTTTTTTTTAATATGCACAGAACTGGAGCCAAAGTTCGGTTGTTGTGAAATGTCTTTAGATTACTGGGAGGAATAACTGTTTATTTATTTACTAGTTGCAGTATTTGACAATAGCTAATTTATTCTGTTCTTTTTCACGGAACTGGAGCCAAAATTTGGTTGTAATGAAATGTCTTTGGATTACTCAGAGGAATAACTGTTTATTCATTAACTAGTTGCAGTCTTTGACCATAACTAATCTCTTCTCTTCTTTTACAGCTGTCATCATTACAGGCCAAGAAACAACACCATCTGCCTTCAGGCTAAGAGAGGGAGAACCAGTCAACGAAATCAACCTAGCCACTGTAGTTTCTACAGCTAGGGAAGGTGGTACTGTCACCGGGGATCAGCTGTGGCGCCTTGGCTTCTATGGCAGCACTAACCCTGATGGCACGGGGCAGAGGGTTGGTTACCAGGAGCAGATCCTTCCTTACTACCATGCTGACCAAGACTTAGAGAGGCCAGGAGACACCATAGATTTCTCTGGCTTGAATGCAAACTTTGACATGACCAGCATCCCATGCTCCCAGGTTCAGTACTTGTGTACAGTGCTTTCCAAGAACCCAGAGGCATCAGATGATTTCACTCTTACCACGCAACCCAATGAAGATGTTTTGACAAGTTGTTTTCCAGTCCCGTCTGGTGCTTGTAGAGGTGAGTTAACATTTTAATTTTTTTTATTACAAACATTTCTCTCTCGAGTTTCTTTAGTCAAAGATGTAGCTGAGCTCATGTTTTATCCTAAAAATTTCACTGAGACAATGAAGTATGTCATCTCGTAACAAATGGTAAAATAGATAGTACTTTTGTTTCTGAATTCCATTTCACTTGCTACAAACATGTCAGTACATTGTGGATAAAGCTTGTAGATGTATTACTATTTTGTCTTTGTTCTGTATGACATGGTTTTATTTGTATTTTTAATTAGGTGTCATTGTGACGGACATGGAGTGGTCATACACATCAAGTAAACCCATCCCTAGTCAACCAGATGTTTTGGAGATAGATATGTCTGTGGATTCACTTGAAACTGCTTCTGGTATTGACGGAAGAAGGATGTGGCGTGTTGGCATCTTTGCCAGCAAGCGTAGAGACGGAACGGGTCCAAGGCAGGGCACCAACTACCAGATCCTAAACACCTTCCAGGCTCGTAAGCCACTGGTCGCTGGTCAAAGGCTCAACATCGATACCATCGCCACCAGATTCGACCTGGATGAGATCAATTGTGACAGCGGGTACAGATACCTGTGCTTGGAGTTTGCTAAGAGCATGAGACCACTACCAGACTTTGAATTCACCACAACAACAGGAGGAAACACCATTATACGATGCAAAGAATACGAATGTGATAGAGGTGAGACTCAAATCAATCGATTAATTTAGAGATTAGCTCATTAATTGCGAGGATTTATCTCATATCATATTTACAACCCGTATTCAGAAAACAGTAGTATTGATAAAACTCATTAAATCTTTTAAAAATAAATATTATCTACATTTGAAATATGGTTTAAACATCTTTTTTTTTGTCAATGCTTTCTCAGGTGTGAAGCTCATGGATCTTGAGACAATCCCAGACACCAACTACCAAACTGTGATTAGCCAGAAGAGGGAGAATATCCTTCAGTTTGATATGATGGCAGCTCCTGCTTCAGACACTGCAGCCCTCCGTGGTGTCAACCTATGGGAACTGGCCCTCTGGGGCAGTGACAACCCCATCGGGGAAGGACCACGCCACAATGAACGCACTGCCTACAACCTCAACACCTACCAGAAGAGTGTCGCTGTCACTAACCAAGACGTGCTCCGCTTTGGAACTGTGGAGACCACTTTTGATATGACAGGATTGACCTGTGATGAAGTGCAGTATATCTGCGCTCGTCTTCAGAAGTCCAGTGACGCTGTGCCAAACTTCCAGCTGTCTGGTGTGCCTAACAATAGAGTTCTCACTCAATGCTTCAATGTTAGGTGTGCTGGTGAGTGAAAATCCATTGCTTTATGTTATGATATTTCTATGTCCAGTCATGCATCATTCCAACCAACATGTTGATGAGAAAGATTTAAAAAAAAAAAAAAATTAATTGTAGCAGACAGATTAAAATAACGTTACCTTTTCTATTATTATGTTTAGAAATGTCATCTCAGTTAACAAAGGAAATGAATATTGTTTAAGTAATAGAAATTAAATCTGGATGATGTAGCTACATCTACCTAACATGAACCTGTTGAAGAAAGAAAGCAGTAAGGTTGGTCTAAATGAGGAGGGTGCTCAATACAAGAAAAGTGGAGGGTGGGAGTGTCATCAAGGCATGGAAGTCTGTAACCCCTGGTAAGAGGGAAAATGCTGACTTAAATAAATAATGATGATGTTATTCTAAACAAAATATTTGATACAGTCCTGGTTATTTCTTTTTTTCCTGACTACAGGAGTGGTAGTGGACAATACACGTCTTTCAGTGTCCAGCAGCAGCCTGACCGATGGTAGTGACGAGGTCTTCTTCTCAGTCACCATGAATTCTCAAGACCAGAGTGCAGATGCCGCATTAGAAAACATGTGGCAGATGTCTGCCTACTTGACCAGCACCTCTGATGGCACTGGCAAAAGGGTTGTCCTCGGAGAGGAAATACTTACTCCTAGGGAGTCCAGTCAAGCCCTCTTCTCAGGCTCCCGGACCGGCTTCTACGATATGCGTACCCGGGTCAATCGAGACACACTTGATTGCACAGCCAGCAACTACCTCTGTATAGAGGTCACCCGCGCATCGAACGCCCCTAATACATTCTCTTTCACAGGCTCACAGGCCAACTCGCTCTCTTCTTGCGAGCGGTTGGAATGTGCCAAAAAGCGTAAGTGGTGTTTAGGAGTGGTGTGGCACCAGAAACGTGAACCAGATCCTGGGCCTAGTTGAAAACTGAGCTAGATATTTTTTTTCTTCAGTTCACCCCTGCATGACATTTCACTCAAACAAATTTGCATGTTGATTCAATAGGTTTCATCCTTGTGAAATCAATTATTACGTACAGTTTTCCTTCTGCCATATTTTATCAAGGTTCAAAGGAGAATTCTTTGTTCAGGTTGCATGCAATTGAGTATTTTGCATGAATACTGATGTCATCTGAGTAAGTGACACTATGGAGAAAGTATACTTAGAGGCAATAGGGTAAAACAAGCATGTGACTGTATATGCTTTTCCATTGAATGTTAAGAAATAAATAATCAATTATATTTTGTTCTTCCCTTTCTCTCGTTCATGTGTCATCTCTTTACTTTCTATTCTTCATCATCAGCTGCCGGGCAGTATGTAAGTGCAAGTTATTATTCAACCTATCTTTTCATAGTATTAATGTAAGCTAAAATGTGAGATATAAGCTAAACAAACCAAATGGCAAAGGGTTATTTTCTGATACTTTCTTCTTGATATTTGTAACATAGGAGCTGGAATATAAACCTTAACAGAAATGATGAATATGTATACCTTTTGCATTAATTGCCCTATTTGAATATAAACATATATATATATATTTATATATATACATGTTGCTCTCGAAATCTTACGTAATTAACTATTTGCTTGCGGACATTCATTAGAAACTGTAGTCTGTACATTCATTATTAAGGGAGCCTAACTCATTCCAGTATATTAATGGATTCTCAGGAATTATGATTATATTACTAATACATAATTTCCCTTTTTTCACATATTCAGTCAGAAGGCCCTCGCGGAGACAAGGGACAGAAAGGAGAACCTGGTGATGCCGATATAAATAGTGCTGTAAGTTGGCAACATTTCTCTCCTATTTTTAATAATAGAAAATGAATGTACTCTATTAAACTTTAATCATTATAAGAAGTAACATAAGCATTCCTAAAAAGAATTCACTGAAAAATGGATACCACTTATGTTTCAAGATACATGAAATGCTTGTTTGTTTGATGACCAAACGATGATTCATGTTTTTTTCTCACTTTCTTTTCTTTCTTTCTTTCCATGCAGAATTTCCCCCCTGGTCTACCAGGACCAGTTGGACCCCCTGGACCATCCGTAAGTCTTTAACTTTATTTTTTGAATTATTGTAGAAAACACCCAATTCTTTTGATTTTCTTAATGTGTGTCCTAGTTTTCGTTTCTTTGTAATAAAAGACAAAAACAGAAATCAGTGTTATTTCTATGAGTATGTGAACCTGCTCAACTTTAGCCTCATGTTTATGTCTCCGCCACCAAAGGTGGTGTCAGAGGAGGCTTATTTTTCTCTTTTTTGCAAGAAGTTGTAAAGTTTACTTGTTGGTTGGCTGCAGGTAGACTTAATGATAGGAATCCCTATTGATAATTGCATTTTTTTCTTTTCTTATACAGGGACCTTCTGGACCAGCTGGTAACAATGGACCACCAGGACCCAATGGACCCCGTGTAAGTTTTCTTGGCTGTTATCTCAAATAGCATTTTTTTTCTTCATAAACTATCCTTAATACCATACCATTCTACAGCCTGTAGCATAAAGTGATGCTTACTTATCTTGAGATCCAAATTTGAATTTCATTTCATCTTCATTCAGATTTTATGGATGAATACATAAATAATCAACTTGTGCATGAAAAATATATTAAAAAGTATCAACTTATTTGAAACAGAAATTTTTCAATATTATCCTTGTTGTTGTTATTATTATTAATGTTATGGTAATGGTTTTTGTTGTTGTTATTATTAATGTCATGGTAATGGTATGTGTTTTTATTATTGTAGGGAAACCCTGGTATGGATGGATTGACTGGTCTGCCAGGTATCCCTGGACCCCCTGGACCACCAGGAAAGTCAGGATCATTGGTTGCATCCGCCCAGACCTCATCCTTCAACAAGGGACCCTCTCTTGCTGGATACCAATACCCACAAGCACAGGCAGCTGTAAGTCTTAAAACCTCTTCTTTCATGTACATGCCTTTATGAAATAGTTTGCTTGCACAAGCCCTTGTCAGTCATTGTGCATAACGGTGTCTGCATTGTTAGACTATGCTGATGGCATACCGCATGGGATTGACACAGCCAGAGACTCACAGGGCTAGGCTCTGTTCAAGGTTTTAGGAATTGTTTTTAAGTGTCAATTTAGAGTCTGTGGGATCTTTTAAGTAAAATGTTGGTAGTTTGTGTTTACATTATTTATGTTTAAATTAGTTGTGTTAAGATTTGTTGTGTTGCTAGGTGAGTTATGAATTTCATATTCAGTAGAAATGAAGAAAAAGAAATATCATCTTGTTTAACATGCCTTTTTCTCACTTCTGATATTACAGGGCACCCCCGGACCACGTGGACCCCCAGGACCCCCAGGATCAAGGGTAAGTTGTACCCCTTAGTAACTTGTTTCAAGAATTGTGTCTTTATCATGTTCTTTTTCTAAGAAGCTAAACAAATTTACAGGCATTCATGAGTGATTAAAAAATTTGTTTTGAAACTGTATGTATTAAATATATGCTTTTTACAAATATTCATATGTTCATATATTTACATATAAATATATATTATACAAAACACAATAAGTGATGATCATCTGTACAAGAAATAATTATTATGTAAATTTTCATCTTCCAGGGACCTCAAGGTTTGACTGGACCATCCGGACCTTCAGGAGAGACTGGACCCTCAGTAAGTCTATCTTCTCTTCTTTTTTTTTTTTACATTTGGTATGATCTATTTTTTCATTCATTCAACATCCATCTTATGGAGATAAACTGTGGAGTTTAATGAAACATAATTTGAATATTGATAATTATGATGATGATGATAGTGGCTTCTTCTATAGCACCAGTTTCCCCCTCAATTTCTCACAAATTCAACATTCTTGCTCAGTGTTTCAAATTTAAATTATTTTCCATTATTGTATGGGACTCCTTATTTGAAAAGGTAATTCAACTTGTTGCAAATTTACTAGTACTACCTTGCAAAATACATGTTTGCAGTTGCTTTCATTCTTTTTTTCAATGGAGGATGATTTTTGATGTTACATGAATTTAATTTTTCTCTCCCTTCTCCTTGTATCTCAGGGTAACTCTGGACCACCAGGACCATCTGGACTTCCCGGACGCCCAGGATCTGATGTGAGTAAAAATTACTCCTGACATGATCAATCTCAGAAATTCAGACAGTTCTTAATTTGGACAGAAATAGTCACAATCAGTAGATGATGACAATGATAATAATGAAACTGGCCAGCAAATACAGAGATAATACTTTCCATGACTATCACACATAGTATAAAAGCTTTTTTTGTAAACGGTTATCAAGATTGTAGTCCACATCGATGTTTCAAAAATGACACCAAGAAATTGTTACCGGTAGCTGCTCGTACTCAGAATGCTGGTATATTACTTGTTGCTTTGATTCACAGGCTTTTGGTGATGGAGGGGAATAACTATGAACTTTCTACTATGAAACATACTTTAACATGCTTTAATTTTCATGTGCATAGATTGTTATGATAATGTTTATTGCCAACTTTATATTAAATAAGACTATTTTTCTCTATTTCAGGGAGATGACGGTACCCCAGGCTCTCAGGGACAACGTGGACCTGCTGGAACCCCTGTAAGTCATAAAATCATCTTTTTTCTCTCATATACCTCATCTATTTTCAAATCTTTATTGAAGGAAATGAAGGATATATCAATCATGTTATTCGGAATACAAGACTCTCTTGTGAAGACAATCATCTCTACTAATATAAGTAGTAATAATAATATCATTAGGTATACGTGTAGCAGACTCTGTTGGATATAGCATGTCATAATACAAGGTTAGTTGAACAAAATTAAAACAATACATGTACATAATAATGTCAACAGCAGAGTAGCCAAATAAATTTCAAAGAGATTCTTGATATTGGTACAAGTGAGTGCCTATAATAATCAAACATATTTGTTCTCTCCCTCTATACTAGGGATCCCGTGGAACCCCAGGAATGCCCGGAGCCCCCGGAATGAAGGGACATCAGGTTAGTGAACCAAGTTTTTTCATTCTTTTGTTTGCTTTGATCATTAAGTTTTATGTAAAATACTCTTAAAATTCCATGCAATTTCATGTTTTTTTGTGTGTAATTGATATGAAGATGTAAGGACCTGAGTGAAAATCAACTACTGCTGAAAGGGTAATCCATTTAATATATGGAAATGAATGAATAAAGGAAAGATGGTCCTTTGAAATGCCCTAGATTATACCTAATTACGCTTATATGTTCGTCTCAAAATGTCATATTTGGATTCTACAGGACTTGCCTAAAGATGTATGTCTTTCCTATTAAGAATATAATGTGATTCATGTAGTTGAGATTCTGATGATAAAGATATCATTTGTCTATTTCACAGGGTCTACCTGGAATGACAGGAAGCAAGGGAGAGCGTGGAGAAGGTGGAGAGCGTGGAAGTGATGGTAGCCCAGGACCCGTTGGTGCTCCAGGACCTGCTGTAAGTAATACAGTCAAACCTGCATATTTACAACATTTCAATTATTTTCCTTAACTCCCATTTAAGTTAGTTTTGAAAGAAAATTGTTTCGTAACGGAGAGCTTAAAAGACTGCACTCTGAAGTTGTGTTTAATATATAAGTTATTTGCATTGGTATCTGAAACAAAGGCAACCAGAACCTGGAAATCACAACTACTTTTCTTTGACATGTTAGAGTTGTTCTCACTCTTGTGCATGACTGGTCAAGCTGTCTTTGACTCCTTTGTGATTTTACCTACCAATTACATTGCTGTTCCTTTTTCATACAGGGACCCTCTGGACAACCCGGTGAACGTGGCCGAACTGGACCCGCTGGATCACAGGGAGACCGTGGAGCAGATGGAGCCACCGGATCTCAGGGACCACCAGGATCCACCGGACCCGCTGGAGCCCCAGGAATGCCCGGAATCTCCGGAGCTAAGGTAAAACAATACAGCTTCATTTGTATTCTCTATCTTCCTGATAAAGTTCTCTTTACAATATAAATCAATTTTGGGGGGAAGTTTCTTAGAAAGTTTTTTTTGGGAAGTTTCTCAATTGGAAGAGATATTGTTCGAACAAAATTTCTAAAGGGAAGTTCCTAAAGGCAAATCATACAACAAATTTGATAGTATGAAATTAGACAAAGTCAGCTACATTGACATTTAAAATTACAATTCTTGATATTCTGTCATGTTTCATCAACATAGCACAGGCTGCTTGGTGATGATTTAATTGATTTTACTTCATGAAAAATGGACGTTTTTGATGACTAGTATATTTATCCTTACTTGGCACTAATATTGAGGAAATGTATTCTTTGTTGCTATGTAGGGAGATGCTGGATCCCCAGGAGCACGTGGATCCCCTGGACTACAGGGAGCCCGTGGAGAGCGTGGATCAGAGGGATCCCAAGGACAGACTGGACCACCAGTAAGTAGCCATTGTTACAATTAAAAGGATTCACTTGTTTGTGTTATAAAGTAATTGATGTCTTTCATATATCCTTAATGCTTATTATTAGCCTGCAAAATCAAGAAGTTTGATATATACATGTATAATGTGTTGTACATTTGCCCTTCGGGTTGATGTGCAACAACAATGATGGATGAATGCTCTTGAAACTTTAGTGGATACACTGAAGATGATGTTCCATTCAAGCAGTTAATAATAGTTAATGGAATTATTTTAAGCATGTGTTAATCGTCTTTAAAAATTTCTATGGATTCTAGTATTAACAAAAGATAATAAAACATACAAAGAAGTATTTTCCAGTTGTATTTGTAAGATGATTTAAAAATCTGCTTGTTGTCTCTTCCTGTAGGGTGTCCCCGGACGTGATGGATCTAATGGAGCCAAGGGATCTGCAGGACCCTCAGGAGCTCAGGGAACACCAGGTTTCCCAGGAGCACGTGGACCACCCGTAAGTTCAAAGATATTTATAGTTCTTCGTTCTCTTTTGAGGAGGGGGAGGGATGGGAGAATAAGACCCCATTGGTAGAATACTCTTACTCAGACCAGATTACATAGCTTTGTTTTCAAAATAATGAAATTTTTTATTGAAGTGCCTCTATAAGTTGCTTAATTAATGAAATAAAAATAGACAAATGTCGAAAATGTATAGAAAAAGTTTATTTGGTTTTATATGAGTATGTAGCTGGATGATAAAACGGCCAAACAAAAAAAAACTTTTTATGAGTTTACAAGTTATGAGTTTACTGATTATGTGATTTCTATTATTAACATAGTAACCCAGACATATTGTGGGTGTGCTGTAATGTAAGGAAGTAATCATTTTCAGATAGTTTTGAGGTACCACTGTTAGCTCTTCATATGACACTTCATTTCTTCATGTTGTGGTTTTGCTTAGGGACCCGCTGGTAGCCCAGGACCTGCAGGATCCAAGGGAGACCAAGGAAACCCAGGACAGCCAGGAGCACAGGGAGAGTCTGGACCTCTCGGACCCCGAGTAAGTCAATCGCTGGACTATTGAATTCTTTCATTCCCATACGCTTTTAAGCAATACATTAACCATTTGATTCCAGTAGCTGAGTTATTGATAAGCAATCTCAATGAACTTTTTTTTTTCAATCAAAACTGCAACAACATAATTCTGAAATAATTGATACTGTTATTAAACTGTGGAAGGTCAGAGATTTGCATATGAATATCGAATCGATTTCAGTAAGTTGTCAGTCTACATCCTAGAAAAAAGATATAGAAATGAATCATACAGTTTTGCAGACTTGTCTCCTTTTCCTCTATAACAACTGCCTTTCTGCTCTTAAAAGTCTACAGTTAAATTACCATGATTCTCTTCCTCTTTTTTTCTATCACAGGGAGAGACTGGACCTGCTGGACCCCCAGGAGCACAGGGAGAGAGCGGAGAGAGGGTACGTCAGTATTATATAATCCATAAATTTATATTTATTCCTTAAGCATCAAGGCTGCTGAGAGAAAAATGATCAAAGTTGACGTAAAGAATTCAAGAGAATCCAGTATTCTCAAGTTAAATGTATTTCATCTTGATATTTGCACTTAAATTTTTCACTTTTTGTGATGTACATAATTACTCAACCTTTGTTATATTTCTTAAACAATCATTCTGATGAGAGGATGTGTGAGTGAAAAAATTATTGAAGTTGACATACAGATTTAGAGAGAAGTCGTTATTTCAAGTTGTTCACTTTGTGAAGTAAACCTTTGTTTCGCTTACCTTATAGGGATCTCGCGGAAGCGTTGGACCCGCTGGACCTCCAGGTGGTGTTGGAGAGCGTGTAAGTATTCATTCCAATTCATTTGTCTTTTTTATAGTTACCTATATGAAAAGAGTTCTACAAAGAATCCTTATGTATATTTAAATACGTGCTATTAATAGATAAACAGAGTATAATGTTGCCAAGAAGTTTGCAACCCATTTACGCATGTATATTTTTAAAAGAAAGAAAAATGACCCTTCAATGTTATTTTACAGTGAATGTATTTGGACATACTTGTGTAATTCTTCAATATTGTTTGAAATTTATGTAATATAAATTTAACTTTGACTTTGACAGGGACCCATGGGACCCCCAGGAATGTCTGGAGCCCCAGGAGCACCAGGAGCTAAGGGAGACCGTGGATTGCCTGGTGAACGTGGATCTGCTGGATCCAAGGGATCTGCTGGAGAGTCTGGCCGCCCAGGAGAGCCAGGTATGCCTGGACAGAGGGGACTTACCGGACCCCCAGGCAAGCAAGGACGTGATGGAAAGCCCGGACCCGCTGGTGCACCTGGTGAACCTGGAAACTCTGGACCTGCTGGAGCATCTGGACAACGTGGTCTTCCCGGACTTGTTGGTCTGCCCGGACCACAAGGACAACGTGGTGAGCGTGGAGAGGATGGTGGCCAGGGATCCCCTGGAGCACCTGGTCTGACTGGTGAGCCCGGAAAGCGTGGAGAACCTGGTGTTGCTGGACCTCCCGGACCTCAGGGATCTGCTGGAGAGAGGGGTAACCAAGGACCCCAAGGACAGGCTGGATCAATGGGACCCCCAGGACCTCCTGGAGCAAGTGGTGATGCTGGAGCACAGGGAGACAATGGACCACCAGGAGAATCTGGACCTCAGGGACCCCCAGGAGCCCGTGTAAGTAGATAAATAATGAATGGCTTTCTTAGGAATCTGAAATCACTTGCATAAAATCCTTATATACTATATAGAACTGAAAATTATGCCAGTTATGTACGGAAAGATATCCCAATATATACGGTAGACATGAATTGAATGAAAGGAGAGAAGCAGCTATCATGTTTATATTGTAGCAGTTTTTAAATACCTTGCAAGATGTAAGGCATGGTAATAAATTGTCTTGGCTAACAAATGGAGCCTATAGCTCTGGGATGTGTTCCATCCTTACATCTCTTGTAGTTAACAGGAAAATTCTTCATACACAATTTGGAATCCAACATCTCTGAAGTATACAAACTATGTTCCTTGCGAATGAATATCGATATTAGAATATGAACTTACATGTATCCATTATTTTAATTTTCTTGCTGCAAATAGGGAGAGCGTGGCGCCCCAGGTGAACGTGGACCACAGGGACTTACAGGAGCACAGGGACGACGTGGAATCGGTGGACGTGCTGGAAATGATGGAGCTACCGTAAGTTACTCTTTCAGTTGCTTGTACAATTTCAGGGGTTCCAGAATTAGATCTTTCATAGAGTTTCATAAGAAAGCATTCTCTTGATTATCTCCTCCAAAAAAAAATTGTCAGAAGGCTACTGATCGAAAATTAAGAAAATCATGCAACTGTTGCGTGTAGTGTGGGATTTACAGAGATATCTTGGTTGTATTTCTACATGTATGTACAATACTCTATCCAAAAGAAAGGTAAACTGTACAATTTCTAGCTATATGAATCACCTTTTTGTGGCTTTTTAAATGATATCTGCAACTCTTCAAAGAGATAACACTGACACTTGTGAGCACTTCTTGTCAGATCAAAAGTGGTTATAAATATTCCAGATTTACAAAGAATTATCATCTATTAGGCAGGGACAACTTTTATATCATGAGGGATAGCTGTACATATATTCTTAGCTTTTTTTTCCTTCTTCATATTAATGTGTTATTATGTGTTACATCTTGTTTCATCTTGTTTCATCTTGTTACATTTTTGATCTTCCATATTGCAGGGACCCCCAGGACAGAAGGGAGAGATGGGACCTCCAGGAAATGTTGGACTTCAGGTAAGGCCATCTCAAAATCATATGTTATGTTAATTGGAATAATGAGATTAAATGTTGGCCCTCATTCGTAGGGCTTATCACAAGTTGAATTGGAAAGGTATTGTAATGCAAACACTTTTGCAAATCTAGAGGAGAATTACATTAAACTTTACTGTTTATATGCATGATATTAATAGGCAATTGCAACACTCATCAATAAATTATTGAAATGACTACAGTGATGAAATTGAAACCCCATACAAATCTTGCACCACCATATTTTCTTACACTGTTTAATTGGATTGCCAGTACACTTTGATGATTCCTTGATCATTTCTTACCCAGTCTACTAAAAAACACATTTTACTATCACAAAGAATCCTGTAAATACATGCAATAACTGTTTCTTGTAAATATTATTACAGGGACCTCCCGGAGAACTTGGACCTTCCGGACCACCAGGCGCTCGTGGACCACCCGTAAGTCTAACACAATTTAATACCAACTTTAATATACATATACTATGTTCATCAATGTTTTACGTGTGCATATTCGTTCATATGCAAATGCAAATCACTGGTTTTGCAAATTATGGACTGTAATAATGGTCACTGTCTATAGAATCAATTTGTGAAGAAAATAAAAGCTAAGCTAACTTACAATATGAATGATGAAAATCAAGTAACAATAGAAAGAACCATGTATTAAAAGCAGTGTTAACTATGTACAAATCAGCACAGTTGGGGACAAATTAGTTTGATTACACTCATGTTTCAATTTGGCAGCTACATAAGTATCAGATTACTTAACTTTTGTTCCTCTTTTCCATCTCTCAGGGACCTAGCGGAAGCCCCGGACCAGATGGACCTGCTGGAGCTGAGGGAGACAGGGTAAGTGTCATAGGGAGAAGAAAAACTTAACGAGTCAAAGATATATACATGATGATGCATCTTGGAATAGCTCTTTATTTTATCAATATTTTTATCATAGCTGATTGATTGACTTAATAAATACAACTACAATTTACAAATACAAAGTCAGAGAAAGTAAAAGTGAATGAATCAGGGGCATCTTCAAATATCTTCTTGTGATCATTTTATTAACAGAATGGGTTATTGCAGGAAATGTGATGAAAGACCATGTATCAGTATCATCCGCATGCATTTATTTTGTGGAAGAGAAATAAGGGAAAAGGGTTAAACTTAATGAAGGAATGTAAAAAATACAACCTTTTTGTTCTATAACATTGGATTATTATGCATTATTTATATTTATTATTATCCCTAATGAGATGAAACTCAGTGGTAATTCTAGATAGAAGTATGATTCAACATAAATCTAAATTAGGGTGAAGATGATGATGTGAATGTGATTGAAATGATCAGATAATATTTAAGGTTGAGAAAATTTTACATTGTTTTGTGATTTTTATGATTCATAATATCTTTGCTCCTTACAGGGACCAGTTGGACCTATGGGACCCAGCGGACCATCTGGAATGCCCGGTGAAAGGGTGAGTGAATATTGGTGGACAGTAGTCCCTCCCTCTATCAGGAGTCGGCTGTAGGTCCTTCAGTTAATAGCCATCACAAATATGAAGCATTATATTCCACATGAAGTAAATATCAATCAACCACCTTTATATACATGGACAAAACCAACCTGGATTTGGTCGCCCCTTGGTTTCTTTATTATATCAGCAACCAGGGTGATTTATACATATATATAATATGAACATCCAGCAAGCAATCAGTCTAGTCCTTATTTACACTGAGGATTTAGTGACATAAAGATAATAGCAAGCAACCATTTACAGAGCCGCCGGGAAGTTGCAGCATTTCTATGTTATTACTTCTGGATGCCCTAATGCCTTGGCAGAAATTTAATCTCACTTTGTAATGGATTATAATGTTGTTTTATTCTTCTCTCTTCTCTTTGATAGGGAGACAATGGAGAGCCCGGACCTGGAGGAGCACCTGGACAACGTGGAGATCCTGTAAGTCCATAGCTTTTTAAGAAACAACTAAAGAATCCAAATAAGCATACATTAATACTTTTAAAAGATGTATTTAAGGATAATAATAATGAGAATAATAACATGTTTAATTTATATAGCGCATTACATAACACATTTTATTGTGCTATACATAGGATACAATATTTTATATAATCCTGAAGAGTTGGGTTTTTGTGTCATTTCACTTTAAAGCTCTTTTCAATAGTGACTAGTAAAAGATGCTGAATTCCTGAGATGACTTTAATATTAGCCTGTCAATGGTGTATGCCTCACCCTTCCCAAGCAGTGTAGGAAATTTCTTAAACAGTTGAACAATTTAGTTTTCTATCAAGAAAAGTGAGATATATACATACTGCAAAGAAAATTTAAATTCATATTTATAATATGCATTTAAACAATAACAATGTATTTCATTCTTGGGATTGAGCTTGAATTTTGACTAATTTCGTTTTCTTTGATCTTTTCTAGGGCGATCAAGGACCACAAGGATCCCCTGGATCACCTGGATTCGCTGGACCACCTGTAAGTCACCCCTCTTTTAATCTTTTAGTGGACTGTAGCTTTATAATGACATCACTGTTTTTTATATATTTGTTTTTTTTTTTTAGTTGAAAGAATTTCACCCCTGTTCACATTGTCAGCAGATAACAGGTCTTTCTAATGAATGAATAAAAGAAAGAAGAAAACAAATAATCTTTTACTTAATGAATATCTGCACACTTTATTTGTGTTTGTGTTTGATATTGTTATCCTTATTCCTATGAAGATGATGCTGTAATTTTTTTTTATTTCGATAACTTCTTAGGGCCGCTCTGGAAACCCTGGACCTCAAGGAGAGCTTGGACCTACCGGAGCTAGGGGAGAGACTGGAGGACCAGGACCCTCAGGACCTACCGGAGACCCAGGACCACAGGTAACATTTGGGCCATCTTTTGTTTCCCCTAGCTGAACAAAAAATAACCTGGAATTGCACACCTAGACTTTATTTAAACTAACTTGTGTCTTTAAATTATGAAGCATAAGTGTTATAAAGAAACACCAGAATTCATTTTCTGAGAATACATAGTGATATTTTACCATTTAGGGTGGAACTACTTCTGAAAAATGTTATGTTCTGCTAAATGTTTTGATTATGCGATCCCAGTTCTCATAAATCTGACGTGATCTACTAGTTGGTTAATATTTCTGTGTTTTATAGAATGGAGGGAGGAGGGGGGGGGGGGGGGTTGCAAAACTGAATAGGATTTTGTACTTCATGGTTATCTTAACTTCATCTCAAATTAACATTCTTCTTCTTTGTAAACTAGGGACCTCTTGGAGCCCCAGGACAACAGGGAGAGCGTGGAGAGACAGGACCTCAGGGACAAGGTGGACCACCAGGACCCATTGGAAGCCTTGGAGCACCCGGAGCACAGGTACATACATCATTATGCAATACTTAATGTTGGTAGGGTAAAGGGGCAGTTTTTGATTAGATAATGACATTTCTCTGAAGAAAGCTTCGAATGGATAATTTCATTTATCAGGGTTTTTTTAAATCTATTAACAGAAAAATTAGAATATACTTGGTTGGCATATGAATATCTGTAGTTGAGCCTACTGTAAAAGATATTTTATTGCAGGGCCTTCAATGGTTCCTGGATTCTACCATCTGCCTCCATTCATTTATTTTTCACTGGCTTAGTAACATTTTGCCATCTCAAGAGAAGATTAATGTTTCTCCCATCTTATCATAAATCAGCATTTAGTGTATAAACCGCCTGAATCATTCAATTTTGTTTCAGTGATGCCTGTTGCTGTGTTTTTCATGAACTTATGTAATAATAACCTGACTTCTCTGTACATCGGTCTCACCAGTTTGTGTTACCTTCTTATTTATTCCTTTTCTTGTTGTTAAATTAAATGTTTTTTCCTTGATAGGGACCACCCGGACCCACTGGACCTTCAGGTAATGCTGGTAGCCCAGGACAGCCTGGTGCCCGTGGAGAGCCAGGACAGTCTGGATCTCCTGGACAACCTGGACTTGCTGGAACAACTGGACCCTCTGGAGAGCGTGGAGACAAAGGAAACGATGGACAATCTGTAAGTTAAAAATTAAATAACCTTTCTTTGTTTAATAGAACTTAGGCAAACAAATAAATGAATAGAATGTATAAAATCAACATTTGACCATTTATTGTAAATGTATCTAAATTGCAATATCTCTTTATAGAAGTAATATTTGAAGCTCATATTTCAAATACAGTATAACCACCTGGAACCCCCTTCATCAAGAGCAATAAAAACATGTTTTGGTACACTCCGCACTCTACAGGATAGTATTCATTTGTGAACATTTAAATTTCCTTGGTAGTTTTTCACAGTATCCTGTAACATTTGCATTGAGTATTATCTATGATCTGTCTCTTTTCATGATAGGGACCTCCCGGACCCCCTGGACCCACTGGACCTGCTGGACAATCTGGAATCCTTGGTCTTGCAGGAGGCTCTGGACCCCGTGGACCCGGTGGACCTGCTGGACCACCTGTAAGTGGACACTAAGTTTTTCACTTTTATTCTTGAGTCAAGAGAATAATGAGAGGGTATAGATTTTTTGTTGATGGGAGCTCTTTTTATTTGCTTTGTGTAATCTTAATGCATTTTAATGTTTTTACCAGAGCTCTTTAAGAAATTTCCAAGGCCTTTTTATTTTTCCCTCTTTGTTTTGATAAGTTCTTCAGATTATCCAGGCCATTGATTTACAATTCTTCTGGAAAGAAGATACAATGAATTGTTAACATTCATGTTAGCAAGCACATAGATGTATCAATGAACAGTATGGAAAGAATAAGTATCCCTAATTCAACGAGTTTCCAAGGAAAATTACCTACTGGTGTACATAGGAAGTATGTTGCTTGCACATATGATGAAGGCTTATATCATTGTTGTGACAGGGTGAAGCTGGAAGCCGTGGACCCGCTGGAAAGTCTGGAGACAGGGGATCTCCTGGAGCTGTTGGACCCGCAGGAAACCCAGGACCCGCTGGAGAGAATGGCATGCCTGTAAGTAGTCAGAAGCATTGAATTGAATTGGAATTGAATTGGAATTGGAATTGGAATTGGAATATCATAATTGTTTTCTTCTCTTAGGCGGTTCAATGTGGTAAATATAGAGATCAGTACACTATATAATGTGGAAAACAGGAGGCTAAAACCTTGAAAGCCAGGCTTTTATTTGGAATGTCCTTTAAAAATAAAGACAAGTCACTATACAAACATAATTATATGAATATGTTTCTTCACCTAAATCAGGAATCTATTGTAGAAAAGAAAGTGGGAGGAAAATTGAGAAGAAAGTTAGGCATTGGATGATTAGTTCATTTGAATTATTTGTTATACGCTAAGATCAAATGCTTTTTATTCAATTGATGATGATATTGGGTAATACATCTAGAATGTCCTCTTTATCTTTTTCCTGTGTAGGGAAGCGATGGAAATGATGGAGCCCCTGGACCCCAAGGATCTCGTGGAGAGAAGGGAGACACTGGTGCCTCTGGAGCCAACGGATCACCTGGAGCACCAGGACCAATCGTAAGATCCCATAGCTATTTATTATGGTTACTTTGGTCCAGAATGCTTAAGATTTTGTATGTTATCCTTTAGTATATAAGAGATTGAAGTCTACCTTAATTCATATTGATAAAGTTCAACAATTTCATGCATTAGCCAAGATGTTACTATTTCAGATGAGGTGATGTTGATGGTGATGATGATTTTTCCTGCCATGTACCCATTTACTTTACCTGGATGGAGAGTGGCAAATGTAGATTATCTGTTACCTAAGGCGTTAGTGCCACACATTTCCCAACCTTATTCTTTGTTATTTTTTTCTTCCTTTAGGGTGCCCCTGGAGCTGCTGGTGCTTCCGGACCACGTGGTGAGACCGGATCTACTGGTGCCCCAGGACCTCAGGGTCCTACCGGTGCCCGTGGCTCTACTGGACCTGCTGTAAGTCGTTTATTCCCTCTCTTCTTTGCTTATCCATTAATTGCCTGTGGAAATGAATTTGCAAAAGACAAATAAAAAGGAAAAATCTTCTTTCGAAGGCTGGAACAAATCCTGTGATTGATATAACAAAAGGAACTGCTACAGTTTGTCATTTCTTTAGAACAAAACAAAAACATGAAAATAAATCAACATTGATATTGACAAATAAAACCTTATACTATTAAAAGCTGAAATGCCGAAAGTTAAGCTTTAAATAAGCTTTGTTGTAATCAATACTTCCTGTTAAGAAGTGTTCTGTTTACATGCTCTTTTCATGCTATATTATATTTACTGCATTCTGACATGGTATTTGGCCCTTGTGTAACTGGGTGTATGCATGGTCTTTTTCGACGATGAAGAGAATTCATTTTTTTTTCTTTCTGATGATTGATTGCAGGGACCATCTGGACCATCTGGACCTGCTGGAGAGCGTGGAGAGACTGGACCTGCTGGACACAAGGGACATCCTGGAGTCTCTGGACTTCCTGGTCTACAGGGAACTTCTGGACCCATGGGAGAGCCTGGTGCACCCGGAGAACAAGGACAACAGGGAACTAGGGTGAGTGCCAGGATGAATTCATTTCATTCGCATATGATGACATGTTCACATCTATGTTTCAAGTCAGCCTTCAGGGAAGATCCAGGACTCATGGGACATCATATAGAAAACTCATAAGCAAAAGGGCAAACAAAAAATATATATATGTGTATACACACATCAGGAATTTCATATTGAGCTTTAGAGGGTTGGACATGGGTCAAGTGTAACTTACACTTTTTTCCCTTTAAACCATTGCCAAATGTTCCTACACATTATACTTTATCAACTTCATTTATTGTATTCCCATAGTAATACATACTTCATTGTTTTATTCACAAGTTTATTTATGATACTGTGATACTTTTTATTGATTGAAATTTTTCAATAAATCTTTTTAGACATTGAGTTTTGTTAATCATTTGTATTTGCTGATGAAGTTTGAGGTGAAATCGGACATTTACTAACATGTTTGTTCTGGGTTTTCTATTCAGGGATTACCTGGTGCCCGTGGATCCAATGGAAACGATGGACCCTCAGGACCCCGTGGATTTGATGGACCCGAAGGACCCCGTGGACCCCGTGGAGAAGGTGGATCATCTGGACCACCAGGACCCCCAGGACCTCCCGGACCCCCAGGACCACCAGGACAAGTCCAGTCTTCATACGGAGTCAGATACCCATCCTTCCAGTCTGGCGGCAAGGGACAAGGAAGCTCTCCTTATGGTTATGCTGTAAGTTTTCAATTTATGCCACAAATGCTAGCAAAATTGATTTTTATGCCTCTGCTACAAAGTAGCTCGAGGCATTATTAAAACTTGTAGGGTCAATCCATCCATTTCCCCAATTGCTGTAATAGACCCATTTTGTAGCCCAATCCAAGATGCTCTTGGTGATAGAAAGCTCGCCAGAGGTTTGTAAGATGCATGCATAGCAACAGCCAATTTATGAGAACAGGACTTCATCTACAGAGGTACTTCAAAACTTGATAGGCAAATTAGATTGGTTGGGGAACTTGGGATCTGATGAGAAACATCCACAGATTAAAGATACATGAGAAAGCTTGTCCATTTCTAAGAAGATACATTGATGTGTACAAATGTTGATATTTTAACTCTAATGTTTGAGATGCAATATTCCATGATGTTTCATCCTTCTGATGTCTTCTCTGATTACTCTTATGGCTTACAGTACAGAGACGACAGCAAGAATGATGCCGTCAAGATTCAGGATACCGAACTTCTTGGAGCTATCAGTGCTCTTGGCCAGCAGATTGAGTTGATCAAGGCACCTCAGGGCAAGGCTAAGACCAACCCCGCCAGGTCATGCAAAGACGTCTTCCTCAACAATGTTGAAGCCGAGAGTGGTGAGTAGTCTTTCCTTTTCTTGATTGGTCATGATCTGTGTACATTTAGTGCACTGGTGACTGTGTTGAGAATTGATTAGGTATCATTCTGTCTAAAAGTAAGCCTGTGAATGTTTTATGAATTAAAACCAAAAAAACTTATCTATGAACAAGTCAATTCATGAAGAAAAAAACAAACTCTTTTATACTTAGAAAATTGTGCTTGTCAAAACAACTCATCCACTGCAAAGTAGATGATTTAGATTCAAAATAAAGCTAATTCCTCTTTAAAAATCCTTTGATAACCAAAAAAGAATTAACATTTGCAAAAGTTAGATTTTTGAGTGAAATTTTTGTTTTTGTGCCTTCTTTAGGATATTACTGGGTCGATCCCAACCTTGGATGCCAGAAGGATGCCATCCAGGTCTATTGCGAAGCTGAGACTGGCGCCACCTGTGTACCCTCAACAAACAATGTTGTAAGTATTACATGTTCCTCAAATTGTCTTAGAGAATTGTAGTACTGAATGCTCTGCAACCTAGTAACTCCATTAACACCCTTTTAACTTTGTTACCATGTCACAGTTACCAAAAATATTTCGTTTTGAAATAGTTCTGAAAAAGATGCTTTTATTGATTAGTATAATTTAGAAGTAATATAAAATTCCATCTAAGGATTTTTCCTGACCTGTGATGATGTATTTAGCCCAAAGCCAGCTTGAGTACTACCACAGTATTTGCATCAGGCAGGTGGAATGTATTTATCTGTTGAAATAGATATAAGTGGGCAATCATTATTTTCATATACAATTTGGCAATTGAAAAAAATTCATTTGCGTTTGTTCATTCAGTATGTATTTTTATTTCCTTAAACAAAAGTTAAAAATACAAATAACTGGTGCCAATTTGAGGATTGATTGTTGATTCTTGTAGACCTTGACCTGCTATTGGCATATCATAACTCTGTGTACATATTCCAAACTCTTCTCACCCTACAGGTCAGCAACATGACATGGTACGTTGGCAAGACAAAGCGCGCTTTCTTCTCCAGCATGCACGGTGGTGACAAGTTCGCCTACATCGAGGACTCCACCCAGATGACCTTCCTCCGCCTCCTCTCCACCAGCGCCCGCCAGACCGTCACCTACTTTTGCAAGAACGTCCAAGGAAACCCAATCTTCCTCTCAAGCTCTGATGTCGAACTGGTCGATGACCAGGACAGCAAATTCAACTACAGGACACTTGAAGATGGCTGCTCAGTAAGTTTCTTAGACTTGTTCTTTGTGGTGTATTTACAAAATGTACTGGAGCAGAGAGTAATTTATTTTTTTAAAAGCTCAAATAGGAGATCTCAAAAAGTACATAAGGTCAGGTTGATAAAGATATATTGATTTTGAGGAACGGAAAATAGTTTTTCATTACCATCATGTAGGGGAACCATTTTTGTTGAAGTAGATTGCTATCTCTCATTATTTGCTACTTATTAAAAAACTCTTATTAAATTTCTGTTAAAATATTGTTTGTTCTGTTATTCATTTTTGTAAGTATAGCCTCACCATCCTTTTGGAAATATATTTTGTGTGTCATTTTTCATTGTGTTCATCACCTCATGATTTTTCTTCTTTTCTTTGTTTTCATCTTGCAGTCCTCATCATCACAGTGGGGCAAGTCTGTCTACGAATATGAGACCAAGAAGACAACACGTCTGCCGATCGTTGATTTCGCCCCTGGTGAAGTTGGCAGTGAAAGTCAGATGTTTGGCCTGGAGATGGGACCTGTGTGCTTTTCATAAAAATCCTAGTTCTTAAACTTATTAAGTCGTAGCTAATTGACTGATGCCAGGAACGACTCCAACGCAGCTCTCCCCCAAAAGACTCTAATGCTCTCTCTCTATCTCTCTCTATTGTGTCCTTTTTGTGCCAGTATTACGACGAAACCCGTCAAGATCTGGTCTAGTTTTGTGTGAATGTTACCAGGTCGCCATTCAATCCCGTAGTTACCATCTCACTTTTGTATATTCAAGGCTTGATGAAAATATGAAAGCATGTTTCGGACAGAAGGAATAAATGCGGACTGGAAAAATTTAAAAAAACAAGCCTCTGTTATTTTAAGCTGCTGCGGAGTCCGAGCTGGCCCATTTAAAAAAAAATTGAAACTAAATAAAACAAGTCTCTCCACGATATTCTTGTTCAGAGATCTGTTTTATAAATGTGCATTTGGTGCTTCATGAGAAAAGTCATGTACTTTCGATGTCAGTATTCCAAAATAGGGTCTTAACAAAAAGTCAATGTTTATCAGTGTGTTAATTTTCTTGTGCTTGGATGAATATAGAAGATTGATTGTTGTAAGTACAGATTAGTACATGAACTAGCTAATTATGTAGCTATAGTTGTGTCTAGTATCTATTTTCTCTTCCAATTTCTCAACCAGTTGTCAGCTGCCATAACTTGCCTTTTGTAGGAATTCCTAGATAGATAGCTCTCTTTTTTATGTGTTTATAAGCTAGTTCAACCCATCATTGATATGGGTGACACTACGATTGTGCAACTACACCGATATGTATATTAGTGTTTTTCACTGCATGCCCTTTTCACATGGTGCTCTTAAACTATAAATATTCTATATCAAAGTTTGTGAATAGTAGGGAAGTTTTGGTGATATCTTGTGATTCCTCAGGAATATTTTCAATCATGTCTTGCCAACAATTTTTTTTAATGAAACAGAAAATTAAAGTCCATGAACGTATGACCGTGAAGGAGCCTTATATTTTTATAGAAATTGTAAGGTGAGAAGTTTTTATTGCAAATTAAAAAAATGACCACATGTGTGCTACGGGAAATTTAACTGTTTTCAATGTCTTTTCTTATTGTGAACATTTTTGTCTGTGCTTAATATCGAAGTATGAGTTTTGGGGACTGTTTGGTGAGAGCATTGAAAGTGTTGTATGATGAGACATATTGTTATGTAGGAAGTTTGTGTATGAAATGCCATTTCAAATTATTGTTCAATTTGTGACATCAAATGCTTGTGTGAGTTTATAGACATAAAGATGGATGAACGATTTTGTATGGTTTCCTGTACTCTATAGCTTTGGACGAATGCATTGAATGGGGAAAACTAATAAAAGAAAATGCACAGGAACAAAGAGGATTTTGGGGGGAATAAAATAATGAAAACTGTTTCTAAAAGCTTTGGTTCAAAGAATAATGTGTTTTTTCTTCAATGCATCTTCACAAACTTGGGGAAGTGAAAATGCAACAAAAGAAAAACATGATGATTAGAAGGAGGAGGATGGCTATTAAATTGCAAAGATTTCTGTAATATGCTGGGAAAGAGATGGTCAGAATACTCTGATGGTTAAAAAAAATTATGAGAGTGAGGATGAATGGGGCACTTATTGATGTTAATGTGGTGGGAATGATAATGATGAAGAAGGATGGGAATATGTATTGTGAGGCAGATGATGATGTGATAAGTTTGAAGAAAATATGATAGTTGATGGATGATGAGACAAAGGTATTGATGATAATTATGAGGCTGAGGACAAGAATAATGATTGGTGATTATGATGGTGGTGGCAAAGAGATATTAGAGTAGAAGATCAAGATGATAGTGTTGAAGATGAGACAAAGGTGGTGGTGATGATGATCATTACGAGGCTGGGGTTACGATTGACGATGATGATGATGATGGTGGTGGCAAAGATATATTAGAGCAGTAGATCAAGATGATAATGTTGAAAGAGTAAAATGATGATGATGATGCAAAGAAGGAAAAGAGGATGCTCATGTGGTTCAACATAGTGAAAAAGGGATGGGCATGCTATAACGTCGAATACGATGAAGATAATGGCGAAGATGCTTTGATGGTTGAAGGTGACAATGAATAAGATACTGTCAATAACAGTGACAAAAGATAATGATGGAGGGGATGTGAAGAATAGTAATAAATGAAGATGATTCTGTTGACGATAATGATGCTGAGGATGTTTGGAAATGGTAGTAGTTGTGGTGGTCATTTTGATAATGATGAAGCTGTTGATGTTGGTGATGTTGCCGATGATGATTGAGATGGTGAAGATAGCGGCGGTGTTGTTGATGATGATAATAATGGCGACGAAGATTATAATGATGATGATAGCATGTAGAGGCCTCTTGGAAAGGAAAAGGGATTAACGGATTAAAGGGTAATTAATTGACTATTAGTGGTAGAAATACAAAGGGGATTAAGGGACTAACGGTTAACGGATTATGGGCAGGATTTAATGAGTTAAAGCTGGTAGAAAGGAAAAGGGGTTTGGATCAATAACTAACAAACAATAGGGAACAGTTATATTAGATAATGAGGGATAAGGAGGCCTCTACATGCTGCTGATGATGATGATGTCGGTGATGTTTGAGATGGTGGTGGTGTTGTTGACGATGATTTTTTTTCTTAACCTCTTAACATGGTGTTTTATTTCACATACTGATCATCATATACGTTTACATAAATTTACATTTTAAACATGACATAAAAGACAAAAGTAACTAAGTAAATGAATTATTATAACATTTTTTGAATAATTTCTTTGTGTTCGTGTTTCATTAATGATGATGCTGATGATGGATGGGATGGTGATTATGATGATTATAATGATCATGATGACAATGATGATGATGATAATGTTTTTTTATTAATTTTGAATAAAAAACAACTTTATTCGTCACATGCAAAGCCAGGATTTTACATCAGAGCTGAGCGCTATTAATACATCAAGGTGACGTTAAAATTTTCCAATGATTCATGATCTCAACTTTCAAAACTTGATTTATAACTACTAGTTTATATTAAAACTGCCACTTATGCTTTTAGACCATATGGAGGACTAGGGCAAATTTAAATTCGTCATTAACCGTGATCCAAATTCTGGGGAATTACTGCATATAAATAAAAGGTTCGCGGAGATCTTGTGTGGAGAATCTTCCCCCGCGATTTTGAATGGCCTGGGCATAACATCAAATCTCTAGTCAACGATTTGTTTGTGTGCGTTTAGGTATGCGTCCACCCCCCCCCCCCCCCCCCCAAAAAAAAACACCCCATTGACACACACACTAAAACCTGACCTTTTTAAATGCTTGACCGATAGCGACGATCCGAAACATGATGACTTTTTTTCCTCAAGCGGAATCTGTATAACGATACTGAAGAACCCCCGCCCCTTCCACGTTTTCTGGGCGACTTCCGCCTCTGTCTAGTTGATTATGAATTTACAAAAGTACGTGTACCTTTCCTTATGAAACAAGATAAGGATCGGTAAATAGATAATCCCACGCTACCAGAGGCGGCGCTCCTAGGAGAGAGAGAGAGTGTGTGTGAGAGAGAGAGAGAGAGAGAGAGAGAGAGAGAGAGAAAGAGAGGGAGAGAGAGAGAGAGAGAGAAAGAGAGGGAGAGAGAGAGAGAGAGAGAGAGAGAGAGAGAGAGAGAGAGAGAGAGAGAGAGGGTAGGGGGGAGGCAGGAAGCCGCAGTGCGGCCACTTTTCAAGTACCCTAAAAATGTCCTTTATTACATAAGAAAAGTGCACCCTTTTATTCAAGATGCGTACCCCCTTTTTTTGGATAGTTTTCTGTTCCAAATTTGTATAAGTGCTCCTTACCACCTATGATAAGTGCCCCCATAATCTCTAATAAATGCCCCTATTCAAATCTGATCTACGAATTTGAGACCAAGAAGACAACACGTTTGCACTGGCTTCCGATCGTTGACTTCGCCCAAGCCTGTGATGTAATTATGTAACTTCAATCAACTATCATTATGAGACTGGGATTGAATTACAATTAGGATCCCCCTCTTTATAAGATATAACCTAAATACGACCTCAAATTCTTTAAATTTTTGCTCGCTCACAAAATGAAATGTCAGACAATCACACAGAACTGCAAAGCATAATAAGCAATATCTTGGACCAATATTGATAGGAAAATAATCAAAATTGAAACCATCCCTGATAATGTATTAATCACAATGTAGGGTGTAGGTGCCCCTTTTTCCCGAGAAAGTGCCCCTTTTTTGTTTGTGCCACCCCCCGCCCCCCAACCTTCGGCTACAAACATGTTAAAGCCTTTGTCATAAATCATGCTTCTAATCCAGTAATCGACACCGGTTTTTCAAAGAGCATCCCGTCCTGAATGAAGTTATGAAAGTCGCGTGGGCTGTTAATAGAATCTGGATTTTCATTGTAATGATGGTCCGAGAGTCTGTCTAGTCGACAGCGTTTCATCACACTTTGTTTGAAAAAGCGCTGTAGACACCGTTTTGAAAGAACATCCTGCTTGGAGACAAAGCGGACAGTAATGTAAAGTGGAAATTTGTAGCACTTTAATTGGGTAAATTTTTTCTGAGCTGAAAATAATGTCTTTGCCGGAGCATCCGCGTATCCATTTGTTGGTTCGATCAGCCCCCTTATTTGTTAATTTTGATTCTAATTACAATCAGCCAGGGTTTCAATAGAAACTGATTTGTTGTCTCTGTTTTGAAAATTCCTACAAATTTACTCTTCAGTTCAATTTAATCTTTAGTTAATTTTCCCCATTTATTATGGCACACATCTTCATAGTAAACTAGCCAGCTAACAATATGAATCAAATCAACAGTTTACTTTATTTGTAGACCTTTTCTGAATTTGTACTCTTTTTCATGCAAATAAAAAAACAATTGAAAGTTTTCACTTGAATTACTAGGGTAATCGTTACGAAAATTGAGCAATGAATCAAAATAAAGGAGTAGTTCCGTCACCTGTTAGGTTTAACTCTGTGTTAAGTACCGTACAAGTTTGCTATTAAAACTAACTTTTATATCAAGATTGAATAAGGGTTAAAGTTCGGGTTAGGGTTTGGGATAGAGTTAGAGTTGCACAACAAATGGGTTGCATATTTATTTCCGTGTCAATGTGTTAATAACAACAAAAGAACATCGACATTAAGTAGCATACTAATCTGTTTCTTCCCCATCCGGACCAGGCCTACACAAACCACCTTCCACCTTTTCACCGGGGACGATATTACCCCCCCCCCCCCCCCGTCGAATTTTTGGAGATTCTTGAAAGGAGTTGAAGTTCAATAAACGCACGACAGGGAATAAAATCGATTTGCGTGGATGGCTTAATGTTTAACATTTCTTCAGCCTAGTAGAATTTTTCTTTCCTTCATTCAAGTAAATAGTTGTTTGATAGTGGTTTGCTAACATGGAAACCGAAACGCATACACCCTCGACGAAGCTACGGGATCTCTAAACCTCAAATTTAAAGAAAACTGTGTAGACCTACTTCTTGAAAATAGTATGTTTTCTCTTGTCTGACTGGTTTAAAATCGGAAGAAGTTGTTGACTTTTCTTTTTCTTTTTAGCGAATATTATCATTTTCGTCTGTGTCGATCAATTTTCGGCTTACAACTTTCCGCTATTCAAATTTTTACTAGTGTTGTGCCTATTTACTCGTAGAGAGGTGCAGGCAAATCATTACGAAATCCCTTCTCGAATTCCCGTTGGTGAATTTGAATGTTGTTGAGCACTGTTGGGTGTTTTTTTTTTTTTAATTGAGCGAAATATTGGTTGGCGCGATTTTCAAATTTTAGGCCCCCCCCCCTATCGGCAAATCCTGGATCCGCCTCTGGGTGGGTAAGCAAAAATTTATTTATTTGGCTGTACGGGGTGGGGGAGGAGAGAGCACTCTTTTTTTCTCAACACCCACCGCCCCCCCCCCCTTAACAGCAACAACAATACCCTTTTTCCTTTTTTTGCCAATGGCCCCATTTTCTTTTTTTTGTAAAGAGTAAAACTAACGTTGTTATCTTTTTAAAACCT